GGGGGGGGTATAAAGTAGGGTTTTTATTCGAATAAATACGGTATGTCCAATATTTAAAAGAACTGTTTCTTACAGAAACTGCAACACAATATATATATATTTTAAAAAAAGAATTTAACACTGTTATTTTCTAAGTTCAAGGTTGTAGGCCCTATATAGGCCTACGTTTTACTTGGTAAATTCTTAAATTTGCTGCTAGTTTAGGAGTATTGTACATAGGCCTATACTATTTCTCTCGTGATAGGAATACAATTTAAGAAATTCCTCCATTATTTAAGTAAAGTAACTTTAAATAATTAGGATAATTTGGTTTTTGGTGACAGAGCGTCTGTAATTGCATTTTGGGTTTTTGTTTTCAACATCGTATTACATAATGATATATCGTTAAAAATCAGGTTAAATTAAAAGCATTCGTAACCATATTGCAGACATCTTTGTGTGAGAGTAATTATGCATGAAAATATTCAGATATCATCCAATGTTTGTAAACAATTCATGGACCGAGACCTTTAATGACTTGTTTCTTAGCAACGTGTATCACGTGAATAATCAATCAGTGTAGGGCTCTCGTGCAGCGAATCGACGATGAGGAACATGGCGTTCGATTCTTCAATCAGTGGACGAATAGTACTTATTATAGTACTGTAGTAGTACTGTTGATATGTTGCTCGTAGGCTAGCTTTCCATATGGTATTGTCCGACTTGAAAGGATACGCATAGAAGGTACAAGATAGGTGACTTGTGTTTAAGTTACTGTCAACTTATATCATCTGTTCATCTTGTAAGCTACGTGAATTCAATCAAAATCTAATTAAATTTGCGTAGCCTAAGCCAAGCGTAGACCCTGGGCCTAGGCCGATGCATATTCTATACTGTAGATAGGTTAGGACTCCGGGGCTCTCTCTAGCTAGCTAGGCAGGCTAGACCATGCCTAGGCATTTCGACCGCCTACATACAAATAATATAAGTAGGCCTTGTCCTGGGTGGGGTGGGCCAGGCCTAGGCTAGGCAGTGAGTGTGTTTTTGAGTCATGGGTGTTGTTTCAAACTCGTTTCAAACTGCATGCAGTGCTTTTTATACTACTAGGGCCTAGGCCTATGAATACCGAGGCCTATCATGCATGTTTCATGTTTGTAAATGATGTCCCAATTCAGTTGCATTAATTCTATTTTTGTTAACTGCGATGACATTTCTTTTTGATGTTTAATAAAGATACCAAGATATAATACCCTATTCAGACTACACTCTCTTGCGATCGGTTGCGATGTAATCGGTGGTAATCCAAAACTGATTACTACCGATCGCAATCAACGAACACATTCAGACCAACACAAACAAACTTTACATTCTAGGGCCTAGCCCTCCGTTGGCTAGGACTATGTTACCTGACCTCAGCCAAACAGTGCCTGTGGAATTCGTTGTGATTCGTTGCGATCAGATTCCGTGGTAATCGGGACTAAATAAGATTGTAGCACCCAATCGCAACAGGTAACAATTGCGATATCGATTACATATCGACTGCTATTGGTGACCTTTCACACACGATTTTACTTTGCGATTTGGTGTCGCAATTGCTACAACCGATCGCAATGCGATGCTAGTCTGAATGGGGTATAAGATAAAGGTGCTCTGTATGCAAACTGTGCAAAGTTCCTGCTGTGTCTCCGGTTGAAAATCCTAAATTTTATTTTTTTTTAAATTTATTTATTAATTTGTTTTAAATTTCTATATTTTTATACTGAGAAAAACCTGTTCAAAAGCATAGGCCTATCTACTGTTTTCCCACAGGGCCCAGTACGAAAAGTCGACAAAGACATTCACAATTCATAAAAACGAGCAACATACATAAACCAGAAAAAATACATGAACATCTACATCATAACATTTTTGTCAGTGTGTCGTAAAAACAATCCACAAATTCTTTTAGAAGGAATCAAACAAATATTTATTGAGGGTAAAACAATGAACAGAAACAATAATAATTGGCATCAACTTAGTAACCAAGAATACGCTATTTACAAAAAAAATATAAACGGCCGGGCTAAAACACAACATAAACAAAACTGCCCTTCTAATATACAGTAAAGTATGGTCTAAGAACATAATAAATCACATATAATTATGCGCAGCTCCATGACAAACACAATATATCACACATACGTCTAGATATAATTACGTGCGTCTCCTTGGCAATACTGCGTCTACAGACAGTTCTTTTCATTCATCGATTTATAGAAAAAAGAATAGGTATGCAACTACTCAAATGTTTTTTTTTTATGTATGTATACACACATAATAGGCCTATTTACTGTAAATAAAAATGAGAAAAATTTAGCTGACCTTTTTTAAAAGGGGAAAACCTTGAATTTTGAAGAACTTAAAAGTCATTAAAAGCCATTTCAGAAGCCGGGAAAGCTCATTTCCCGCCATCTAGCCATCAAAATTTTCCCGACTCCCTGTTCTCTTTGGGGTTCATCAATTCATGGAAAAAAGAATACGTATGCAACTACAAAAAAAAAAAAAAAAAAAATTTTTCCCTTTATTTGCAGGGGTGGGGGGATTTGGGAACATCTTGACCCCCTCCGAAATTTGAACCCAGATCTGCCCCTGGGAACTGCTTACCATTCTGTGGGAATTTCTTTATTTCTTTAAATTCTAAAACCTTCAAAATTATACATGGTTCAGATTTTTTCATGGCGGTTAAAAGGAACTAGAAAGATGATTTTTGATATGTCACTTATAGAATAGAATCAACTTTAAAATCATTTTTTGGGTAATGTTTTCATCAATTTAAAGGCCATTACAATTTTTCCCCTTTAGCTCTGTGACGTCAGTGTAAGATCTGTCTCTTATACACATCTAGATGTGTATAAGAGACAGGCGTAGACCCTGGGCCTAGGCCGATGCATATTCTATACTGTAGATAGGTTAGGACTCCGGGGCTCTCTCTAGCTAGCTAGGCAGGCTAGACCATGCCTAGGAGTCAACTAAAGCAATGTACTTGGTTGCTTAAAAATGAATATTATATCCATGGTTACATTATAATTTTACCATTATTTTACATGTTGCATGTTATTTTGAATTTTTATTCATTTTTATGCATGTAAGAGTGTACAAATTTGTGTACCCCCTCTCTCTAGCATACTGTTTGTACACTTGTTAAAATGTTGATATTGTTGAACGACCCCTTAGATAAGTTATTGGCACAGGACAAGTGGCTGTAACAATAAATTATACATCTGTTTGGAATCTTCGTCCCAGTGGTGTATCTAGGAGTCTTGAAATGGGTGGGGAGGGTGGTGTGTTGATGGGGGCGTGAAGGTGAAGTGGGGGAGCTCAATCATTAAAAGTAAGGGGGTACTTGCAAAATTTGGTGATGAGGCGATTTTTATCTACTTCACATGATTTATTGTTGCTTCGAACATTTTCAATGGGGGTGGGACAAATTTTTTAGAGAGGGGATATGTTCTCCCCCCCCCCCCTCATCCCACTAGATACACCACAGCCTTGTCTTGCATTGTTATTCCAATGAATAAAATTGTGTTGAAATACTGCTCTTTTAGATTGAGTTGGAGAAGATAATAAGCGATACAATCCTCAAGAAGAAGTATCAGCAACAAGTAATGGTGTTTGTGGTTGGCTTTGAGAGTAATGCCACAACAAGGGTCAAGCTTCTCAGTCAAATCAATGAAGTTTGTTTTCTTTCATACATTTAATTCATATTGTATTTTATTTGTTGTATATAGTAAATATGAATGAAGACATTGATTAGTTGCAATTTGTATTTTTGCTACTCGCAAAGTCTGGAATCCTTTGCCTGTAACTATATTACTAAATGCCTTGTATCTACTATGTAGTGTAGAAAGTTTTACAATCATTAACTCCACACTGACAATTATTTTTCGTATTGTTATCTCACATATTTTTCCAAAATTGCTAATGTCCAGCACATTGTATTCAATAGAACAATTTTCCATGCTTTTTATTCCTCTAAGTTCCTGTCCCCCTAATTTAATATAAAACTTGATATTGAAATTAAACTACCATTATATTGTGTTTTCGTTAGCAGAATTTTTAGCAGATGAGAACTCAAGGGCAATAATCACTTAAAATTTTTTAATTTTTTTCTTGTTTATAATAGTTTTTCAATTCATACTCAAACAACTTGGAAGAAGATTTGAATGTTCCCACTCATGACTCAGAATTAGAAGATTTGTCTATTAGAGTGCAGGAGGCCTTAGAAACAGCAGACACTGCATCTAAACGGCTTCAAGAGATAAACCAGGAGATGGTACGTTACGTAGTGGCTATGGGAGGCGGAAAAGCTGCATCTAAGTAAGTATCATAAGTAGGTCCAGTTTCATATAACCGTTATCATTATTATCGTCATCAGCATCATCAGTATCATCATAATTTTTTAATAATAATAGTTACCAGATGAAGATCATTTACAAGGTTATAATGGTTTTTGTTACACTTTTACAAGTTGATATCGTACTTAATTTATCTTTAATATAAACAATACAAGTTGAAGTTTTTTGATTTCCGCCACATCCAACAGCAAGTACACTCACCACTCACAGCATGGAACAATGCTTTATAAACCAAGTCTCTTTATAAGGCCTAGGAAGTTGAGTTGTTTTTGGTCATAGGAAAAAATCTTGTTGTGACAGGAATTGAACTTAGAAGGCAAGCACCTTAAACACTAAGCTATTCAACTCCACTCCAAGTACTAATCACAATAAATATTAAATGTATTATACTGTACCAGTGATATTTTCTTATCTTACCAAATGTATCATGTCTTTATTCTGTAGGAGTAAGAAAAAATTAGAAAAAGCACTCATGCAAGCCAAGGAAGATATTATGAGCCTGACGGACAAACTTCTCGGGGCCCAAACAGGTAGGCAGTTACAAATCCATCATATGAATATAAATTATGATCTAAATCACAGGTGGGCAAATTGCAGCTTGTGGCCACATGTAGCCCTACAGTGATTTTGTTGCAGCCTGTGAAAATACATTTAAAGTAATGTTAAAACTGAGCATAAAGCGGTCGATATAAAAGCAGTGCATGAAGGTTTTGGAAGAGGCACACTGGAAACATCAACATTTGGCTGCGGCCCTCAGTGTTAAATCAAAAATTGACTTTAGCTGTCCGACCAATTTTAATGCCCAGCCTTGATCTAAATAATGGATTAATATCTAAATAATTTACTTTTTTGCTTAGCCCCACCCCTTCAATATTGATCCTGCAGTTCCCCAAACCACAGTGAAAATGTACATATACATGTGTTGCCATAGAACAAGCGTCTATTTTGTGTTATATTCTGATTGGTCGGTGGTTAAGTTTGTCCATTTTAAGGAGTACCTGCAGTTATTTAGTTGGTAAGTCACAGCTGCAAAATTTAATAATATTGTTATATGTATGGCTCTTTAATAACCTTTTGATTGTTGTACCATCAGAAATTGAGGACAAGGAAGATCAGATGACCAAGTTGTACCGGCAGATTGACATGAAAACGCTAGAAATTGAACGATTCAAACATGCTGCTGAACTTGCTAAGGTAGGCGGAGGTTTGTCTTTTCTTTCCAATTGAAGTTTTTTATGTTATTCTTTTCCAACTATGAATAACTGAAAAAAAAAACATTGTTTCTTAATAAACCCTCAACATTAATTTTAAATTGTGAAAATTTTGTCAAAGTAGATAAAAATCAGGTTTTTTGGTAAATAATATTACTCTCAAACGCAAGATTTTAGCTTGAGATTATGAAAATGATTTCTCAGTGTACATTAAAAATATTTAGGATAGATCGCCAAACTAGAACCTTACATCTAGTGGGCCTGGGTACTCATTTGGAGACAAACATAGTTTAAGTCAAGAACACAAGTGAAATGGTCCATCCGCCTGGCATTCAAGCCCCAAACTAAAATCCAAAATGTTGACTTCTGTGCTTGCACTAACCAGCTTGGGTGAATAAGATGCTTGCCTGCCCATCCCAAGTTACTGGGTTTAGTTCCTATGAGAGCAGAATTCTTTTCACATGACTGATTTATGTTTATAAAGCATAACTGGACCCTGTCGGAGAACAGTAGGTTTATACTTACCAGACTGAAATGTAAGGGTAAAGGTAGGAGAATTACCTATAACTTGCAGCGTCATTGTGCTGAATTGCGTATGGGCGTGGTCTGTGACTACCCAAAGTGGTGCATATAGTAGCTTTTATTTGCACATCATTCCACGACAGCGGCTGAAATGAACCATAGCATCTGGGTAACCACGGACACATTGGGTTCTTTAAAGTGCACATGAGCCAGATTTGTACACTAGACCTTCATTTAAAAAGACTTGGTTCTATCAACCGAACCCGGGACGAGGAGAGGTTCGAACTAGCGCTGATGTTAAGGCTGCAGTTAGTGCCCACCCTGCCCACTTGACTCAAAACATAGTATAAAAGAAATTTAAGCTTAACTATCTTTTTTTTTTTAATATTTATTTAGAAAAATCTAAGTGAAGTGGATGTACTGAAAGAGCAATTAGAAGAGAAAGAAAATGAGATACAGCAGTTGAACCGTCAAATCTCAGACCTTCAGTTGTCATTGCAACAAATTGAACACACACGAGAGCATACTATTGCCAAATTAAAAGCAACCAATGAACAACAGGAGGTATTAATTTTATTTTTAATATTGAAAGGTTTTTACATGTGTACGTAAATTTATATTTTCAAAAAATTATAATAATTTACACTAGCTCAGTTGGCTAAACTGGTGGTAGCCACATTGTGTGTGTTGGTTCATGGAGGTCCTTACATAACCTTGGTCCCTGGTTGAATTCTGTTGACTGCCCTCATTGGCTTTCAGCTACATAGAGGGTTGGAATACAAGTATAATAGCGCACCGTCTTTTAGTAGAGACATTTAAGACTATGATCCTATGCACAATTCACTAACAAAAGGATCTTCAGATGTCTGTGTTTTACCCAGAAGAATGCCAAACAAGACTAAGTTATTGTGGGTTACATCTTAAACCAAGATTGGTCTATAAATTCCACCCCATTAAAACATTTTTTGTTCCAGAGGTTATTATTATTATAATGATTTAATAATGATTGTAAAAGAAATATTTTATTTTTTTATTTAATTAACATAATTAAACTCTATACAATTGCATGGTTATTTGTGCAAAAGTTGTTTAATGATTATTTAATTACATTTAAAGAAAGGAACTATAAATGTTATAATATTGTTAGATTTTAATATAAATATTATTATTTCTTGTGTTTCTCTCTATTATTTTAAACTTTTACTTAAATATTTCTCCTAATCTTTGCATTCTTAACAGTCAAATCACAAAGTAGGTTATTATTTTAGATCTTTGCTAGTAAAATATTTGTGCTGTGTACAAATATTAATTTAATAATTGATTGCTGTTGTTTGCAGTTCTTAATAATTTAAAATAAAACAACTTCATTATCAGTATAACAGGTCAGAGACATAAAATGCCATATAAATAATGATTAATATTTTTTGAAGGCTTGCATGGCTAGTAAACACTTATTAATTATTTAACTTATAGTAAGTCCTATTTTCTTCATTATGATAATTATGTTTATGTTGATGTATAACAATAAGGCCAAATAAAAAAAGTAGTTTCTCATTCTAATATTTTGTAAAAAAGAGAATGAAGATGGCAAATCCAAGATGGTCGATAGGAATAAGCTACTACGGTACTTCCTCACTTTTACCAAGTAGAAACATTGAAAATAAATAAAAAAAGCACTTGACATGATTCATACCATATGCCATGTAGTAGGACCACTAACAATATTTTGTTATATAGTATTATTTAAAGGTGTATATAATATTTAATTTTCTTAGAAAGTATGTGATACTGGTTGTGTTTTTTTTTTTAAATTGAAAATAATATTATGACGAAAAATATGAAAAGTAATAAATGGGCATGTCATCACTCTAAGATAGAATAATATTAATAATGAAATACAATAATTATAAGAAAAATTCTCAAGCACTTAACAAGGTATGTACAGCCTTAGAAACCTTAATATTTGCTTATTTAAAGCATACATTTGAATACATGTATAAACCAACCAATGATAACTTTGGATAGAGTGAGCCCTCTATCAGACAAAGTTGCAATATGTTGGCATGTATTGTTTGATGTGCAGTGATCTATTGATTGCTATGGTACAGATCTTTATAAGTTGTTGTGTTGATGTAGACAGTGATATTGATTAATTCCCTTTGTGAAGCTTCAGATTAACAATCTCTTAATCCATGCTTTATCTAATATTGATTGTGAATTGCCAAGTGATCAACTACTAAACATAGCCGTTACTACAATACCTCCATACTGTAGCTGCCAGAAGTACCTCATTCACAACCTCACATCTCATTGTTACCAAGGAGGAACATTGAAAATAAATAAAAGAAGCACTTGACATGATTCATACCATATGTATCCCCAACCACAAACAGTCTGTGGAGGAATTTAAATTTAAAAAATCAATAAATAAATAAAATTTGGTGAGGCAGAGAAAATGGGTGTGCGAGGAAATGAGAAACTAGTAATTATTTTTATTTGGCCTAATTCATCAAGCTTCTCTTTTTTTTAATGGAGGCGCCAAGTTTTCAGTAACTTAATGATTGATGAGGACAAAGAAAGTGGCAGCATCACTGCCATGTAGTAGGACCACTAACAATATTTTTTTATATAGTATTATTTAAAGGTGTATATAATATTTAATTTTCTTAGAAAGTATGTGATACTGGTTGTGTTTTTTTTTTAAATAGAAAATAATATTATGATGAAAAAATATGAAAAGTAATAAATGGGCATGTCATCATTCTAAGATAGAATAATATTAATAATGAAATACAATAATTATATGAAATTCTCAAGCACTTAACAAGGTATGTACAGCCTTAGAAACCTTAATATTTGCTTATTTAAAGCATACATTTGAATACATGTATAAACCAACCAATGATAACTTTGGATAGAGTGAGCCCTCTATCAGACAAAGTTGCAATATGTTGGCATGTATTGTTTTGATGTGCAGTGATCTATTGATTGCTATGGTACAGATCTTTATAAGTTGTTGTGTTGATGTAGACAGTGATATTGATTAATTTCCTTTGTGAAGCTTCAGATTAACAATCTCTTAATCCATGCTTTATCTAATATTGATTGTGAATTGCCAAGTGATCAACTACTAAACATAGCCGTTACTACAATACCTCCACACTGTACCTGCCAGAAGTACCTCATTCACAACCTCACATTTTTTTTTTCTTGATATGGAATAACATTTTCAAATGGCGGTAGATATTTTTACACATGTCAATATTCAACCTGGTAAGTTTTTAGTTTTTGACTGAATTTATGGTATTTTTTTGCAGCTGGCAATCAACAAACTAGAGAACAAATTGTCCGGATCACAAGTGGTGTTAGAAGACACACGCAGAGGTGATGACACATAATAATTTTTAAAAATAGAAAATAATCAAAATTATTATCATATATGAATGTGTTTATACTAAATGAATGTTCTTTGCCAACAGACAGTAATTACATATCTGGGTTTTTAGTGTGAAAATCCAAAATGATAATAATTATAATTTTATTATTTTGTAATAGATTTGCAGAAACAGCATGAACTTGAAATTGATAAACTTAACAAGGAACATGATGAGGAGGTTCAAAGAATTACACAGGAATATACAGACAAGATAGACCAAATGGAGGTTAGTAGCTAATCTAATTCAGATTAACATGAAAAACGCAACAAGATTAATTTTTATTTTTTAGCTAGTAATATAAGAAATTTTACAAAAGTCTCTTGGTCTTCAGTATTCAGGCTGTTGCAGAGAAATTTTCTTCTGAATATGCTTCTTAACTAACCTTTGATATTTCTTCCAGTATTGAATCTTGTAGTGTTACATATCATCTAATATTTTGAAGAAATGGTGAACAGTTACAGCTGTTTAAACTCTGTTTAATCTGAATGTAATGATGGTTTCTGATGTTATTGTTAAATGCATATTTATCCTAATTTGAAATTTAGAAAGACTACATTATATTTTCTTAAATGAAAATTTTATCACTCTTGTTATTATTCTGACATTTGTGTTAAAAAATAAAATATTTTAAATTATATGTTAGAAAGCTGTTAATCCGGGTATGTTTTTTATACTTCCCATATGTTGAGAAACCCCCAACCACCAATGTTACTACAACATGTTGTAAATAATGGGACTTGCTAAAGCGCAGTATGTCATATCATCAATTCTCAATAAAGAAAAAAGGTTTTAATAATTCACGTATGATTTCTATAATAAACAAAGTTTGTCTATTTCGTGAATAATTGTGGATGTTGAATTTTGACTTCACCAAGGAGGACAATGATTCCGAAAGCACCAAAGAGTCTTCTTCGTGTTCTTCCACCTCTTCATCATCTTCATCATCATCATCATCTTCTTCCTCCTCTTGGTCCCAGTCTTCTACTTCTGTGGTAAGGTTCTGCGGATCAGTGCATGGAACCAGTAGCATTATGTGCTTATATGTTATTGTCAATGCTTATAGTATTTTGTTTAGTAGTGAGAATGTGTAGATCATTTTTTTTAGTGGATTTCTCAATTTTTATAACATATAATGCAAGTAGCCTAAAGGCCAACTCAGACAGCGTCGTACGACGCAGCCCGACGCAACAACAAATCGCGTCTGTGTGATTTAAACGTAGACGCGACGTTTGCATCGGGGGCAGTCGCGTCGTAGAATATTAAACATGTTTAATATTTCTCACGACAGCTTAAGACTGTCCCCGACAATAAATTGGGTCGGGCTGCGTCGGCCGATGCTGTCTGAGTTGGCCTTTACTAGTCTTGTAGTATAATGTTTAGTATAAACGTGTAGCACTTTTTAGACTACTGATTATAGAAATGTTAATTTTGTGAATTAAAAATATCTTGATAATGAATTTCGGAAATAATATGAACTGATAAATGTGGGCTTAAAAATTAATCAAAATCTAATTCAATTCAATTAATCAATTTAGGAAATGAATATGCTGACACTGTACTAGGAATCCATGTTTTACCTGATTTGTTAAGAATTATTAAGGGATTTTCAATTTTTTTGGGAAAAATGAATTGTTACTTACAAACGTGTCTTAACCCCATGATTAATAAGTTATTAAGTTGCACATATCAATGTTATTGCATGCCAGCATTTGTTATTGAATTTATTGAACAGTAGAGTCTGGAATGTGTCACAAGAGTGCAGGAAATATCACTGGCAGGGTGGGGAGAAATATTGTCATGAGTAATCCTATTGTATCTTCCACTGTCTGATGTTTCCCAGTCTTAATATTTGTTTATTTGTTTTATTATTTTTAGATTTTCTATGCATCCTATATTTTATCAAAGTGTAAAGTTGAAATTAATAAAGTAACTATTATTTTATGCTTTCATTCAAAAGATGTGGAGAGCAATCTCAGGAAATGCGCAAATTTTATTATTTTGTTTTTAATGACAAGATTAACCTCAAACCTTAGCATTTTGAGTAGTGTTTTTTGTTGCTCACTGTTTTGTAGTATGTATAGTATATTGAAATCTATTCTTACTTTTTCCCCGGGAATTTATGAATTATCAATTAACCTATGTCATAGGAGTGAGAGTTAAAGTTATTACCCACTTTTTAATCAATCAGATGCCTGCTTCTATATATGTAGTATATAATATGTAATATTCTGTGGTGTTAGTAGATTGCATGTAGGTTGAGGTTTCCCATAAAAGTGACTCATCTAGTGGACTTCCCTAGCTGCCCAGCATGTGGCCATTTCCTCTGTAAAACATTTTATGCAAATGATACTTGCATCAGTTTAACTACTGTACACACTTGCTTATGTAACAAGCTGCAATGTTGTAACATAAATATGTCATATATCAGGTAATTATAAAATTTATCAGTGGTATTTTCAGGCTGCTACTAGTATGTCAAATGTAGGTTTACTGTCATATTTGCTTGTTCGGGTGCTCGCTGCTTTACCTATTCCATGTAAGGATTTTCTTGGAGCTCACCTGGCACCATGCCATTTTGATGCTGCATTATGTTTTCAAGGCTGAATAATATATGTTATTTTATCATGTTCATCTCCACTAAAATTTCTATATTTTCTCATCGAAAGTTGCTGGATCTTAAAATGTTAAGATGTACAGAAAAGAAAGGGGCTTGCCATGTCAAAACCAGTATCAGTGACCAAAACAAAAAAAATGACTTTGTATTATAATCATATTCTCCACATTTTAATCTTTAAAATGATAGGTCACTTGCTAAAATCGACTTAATATTGCCAAAGTTATGAGCAAAAGTATTACAGCCACAACTGCCACATCCTTATGTTAATTCCTCAGTTTAACATTTAGTGACAGTACGCTGTTTTGGGTCGGTAGGCCTCATATGATACAGCAAGTTTTAGAAAATATTTATTTTGAATCTATTTAACACTTGCAACGTTTATTTTATTTATGTTGAATAGGAGAGTGCTGTAAACAGAGTTCGAAACTGGGCTTCAGATTCAGAAGATGATCAAGAATCGCTAGGAATGAGTAGGCAGTCTACTAGCTTAAGTAAAAGACGTGGTTCCAGCAAACTAAATCAAGCGGTAATACTATACATATTTGTATACATTAAAATCAACATTCTCAACATTATCAGCAACATTGTAATTACGTCATCATCGTCATCACCACCATCATCATTAACACCATACAGTAATCATCATCACTTATTCCAAAACTGAATAATCATTATTACATTATCATCTTCATTATCGTTGTCATCATCATCGACATCCCTATAACATGTGACAAAGGAAGCCTCTACGTTGCTGTAGAAGGTCTCATATACAATAGTTCAAGGTATCTTTTATTGTCCATGAAAAATAACAAATTCATTTTTATTACAGTAGTTTAGATAGACTGTACCAGTCTGTGCAGCAAGTGAGTGATAGGCCATAGGACTTACATTTGCACAAGTCATTCTATTGAATACTCTGATCAATATTCCAGTCATCTATTCATCTTCAATAGGGATTAAGATATAGCATCACAAATGATGTCAATCTAGCCCAATGCTGGAATTATAAACGTTGATTTTGTCTTTGATTCTCAAGGACTGTTAGTCTCTACCATTTCAGAGCATTCTATTTTGTTCTGTTTTATGGCACAGTATTGTCTTTTCACAGACACAAACTTTTAGGATTTGTGTTGATAACAAAATGTTTGACCAATCAAATTCTTCTTTGTGGGTTGACGGCCGACTTCATATTTGAAATTGCATACTTTTTTAATTTAAGGTGTTTTTCTTGTGCTCTACTGAAGCATAAGATGATACGTAGTTGTATGCACCAAGTGTTCTTCAGTTGATTGTACAGGTATATTGCAAGTTTTTTCTTTATCTCAATATTTTTCTAGGACTCAAGTATTCAATCATCATCTATAAAGAAGGTAAGATACTGTATTTTATGACAATTTGGAAGAAAGTATTATATTATCTATATCATTATTATTAATTTAAAGGGAGCCCATCAATTTGAAAAGAAGGGAAGAAAAAGATATGCAATAAAGTATTAAGGAAAGGGATAACAACATTACAACTGAAAAGAAAGGAGGAAGAATTCCAAGTGAAAAAAGAGTAGAATCTAATAGTGAATTCAAGGTGAAAGGAAATGGGAAGAAATAAGATAAGATTATAGCTGAGAAGAAAAGAAATGTGGTAGATACATTCTATTTAAATTGAAGGGGAAATGGGATAATTTATTATTCAAATCGTATTCTGTTATTATTTATGCTATTAAATGATATTGATTTGCAGGTGGCTTTAAATTCATCAACGCCATCAACACCAAAAGAGGGCTCATCAAAATCATTATCTATAAAAGGTACTATTACTTGTCATTACCATGTTCTATATTAGTTGTTAGTATACTAATATTTCTATTAATAAATATTACTTTTAATAATTTATATTAATAAATATTACTTTTAATATTACTATTATTATAACTGTTATTGTCACTGTTATTGTTATCATAGATGTAATTGATGTCATTGTCATTTAGTGCATTGATATTTTTAATATTAAGAGACTTCGGGCAATTTGTTCTATGTGTTTGATGAAGTGCTTTTTAAAGCATGCAGTACACTTTTTTGAAGGAGGAATTGTCTTTCAGTGACCTGCCCAATTCACCACCGAGGTGGCACTTGAATGTAGTTGTAATGGGTTCCCAGGACCCAACCTAAATTTGTTATTACTCCAATTAAATTATGTTACTTAGTTTATTAATTCTATTCCAATGATCTTATAGAAATAATAGGTAACATTTAACAGCAATTTTGTTTGTTTTTGTTTAGATTTAGAAGGTAGTAAGTCCTCAACTCCAAAAAGGAGCATACGTACCAAGTCTAACTTGGAGCCAGTACATGAAGTACCATTTGAGGAGAAGTTTGCATTGGAAGATGAACAGAAGTGGGCTCAGGTGCCTCCTGAGCAGTTACCATCAGCATTTAAACACTACAGAGGAGAGGTAATGTATTTTAAAGACATTAGAGAACTTTTCATAATTCAACGATGGTAAGATCTAGACTACAAGGACGTCACACAAAGTCATCTGTTCGTCTGAGAACGTTAAGTTCTTGATATCGACTGAATTGGTTTGGCCCAAGTCTACATTGTATTTACGTATTCAGTTACAGTTACTCGCTTATCTATCCTGAAAATGTTGTGCCCCTCAGTTTGAAAAATTCTGAATCCACTATACTACCTTTCTAATCTTGTACTGAACTAACTTACAGAGTTTAATGGTAATCCGTGGGCTGTCAAATGAACTAAAATTAGTGAAAGATGATCATCACAACAGAGTCAAAGCGCTTAGGTCACAAATGATTGACAGGCAACAAAAATGGGATTCTGTAAGTACAAAACATAAACATAATTTTGATACTTTTTTTTATATAATTCTAATATCATAACGTTGTCTAATATCATAACTTTCAAATTCTATTCTCATGTGAGATTGTACAGTATGCTTTTCACCTTGTTGAAAGTTTATTGGATTGATTTGTGTCAAATCAACATGAATCTGGGCTTTGTCAATTGAGGCAGAGAGCTATCATACACATGAGGTTTTTCTTGGTTAAGAAATTTAGAGAAACTCTGAAATATATAAACATTGAATAGCTTATTTGAAAGGTTTGAATGATTTTGTAATTGCCAGTGAGACAGAATGAAACAATTTAGTTTCCTAGATCTTGAGACTTAACTTCTTAAATTGATTACCAGGCAATTTAATGCTCTGTGCAAAAGAATGTAGGAACACCATTATTCTTCCCCTGAAGACGGTTAGATTATACTCTAAAACGTTTGGGGCATTACAATCCAAACGGTTCTTCTCAGAACCAAGATACCATCAATTTAGAGTTGTAGCATATACCACATGGTGTAATGAAAACTTATTATATATTAATTTAATTTGTCATGCAAACCTTCAAGACTTTATTTAGATGTCTGTTAATTGAAGTGGAATTTTTTATTATTATTATTGTTGTTGTGTTTTCATCAGTGTTGTTGTTATAATTGATTTAATTTTCAGTAGAAAAGTAAAATATAAATAAATAAATATAGAAAGTCATTCTTGTATTGGACTTTTATATTTCGGGTATATTTTATCATGTTAATTCTTCTTTTGATCAAGATTTCATTTCAAAACATGTTTTTTTAAAGGAACGACAAGTACTGACTGTACAGGTGGAGCAAGCTCAAAGACTTCAACATGAGGCAGAGAAAGAAGCCGATGGGGCTATGGCTCAATTAGAAGACATTATTAACGAGCAGGCAAAGCTTGTAAGTAACAAGTATTCACTTTTTTTATGCCTTGTTCAGCAAATTTTATTTTTTAAAGGGCTTTAAAGAAGGGCAGAAAAATATATTTATAATTTTTTCTGTTATAGCAAAATAGCTCTATCTTAAGTATCTAATCAGAAATATATAAAAATAATAATAAAGAAGAAGGTATTATTTTTTTTCTTAAAAAATTTAAAACATAATTTTATATTTATTAAACTAATAGGGAGTAGGCAAAAGCTTTACAATAGTCTCACCTAATGTAACTTGGTTTTATTTAGTAAAATCAAAGGATTTATTTTAGGATCTGTTTCTTAATTTTTTCTAATGGTTTCAAATTTATATAATTTTTTGCTGATTGAAAGATAATATAATATAATGTTATTTATTTCTTATATAAAATAATTTCTTATTAAAAATCCAATCCTGATTAAAAATTTCTTTAGTAGTAAAAGATAATATTATTAAATTGAAGGCAAACTATAGCTATTTTTATTTCTATTAGGTTGAACATGCTGAGAAAGCAGAAGCAGGGGAAGTGACAATGTCTGTCAAAGTTCCACCTACATCAACAATGGTTCAGACAGATGATAATTACATTGCAGATGCAGACCATAAGGTAGGTTATGTCTTTGCAGATGAAAACATGATTGATACTTTTCTGTATAATCTAACGTGATGTGGGCATCATATTATGTTTTCTCATCCGCTTTTTTCATGGGTTGGTATATATGTTCAGAGGGCGCCCCCCCACTCGTGCAATTAAGTGTACTGCGGGCAAGATAACACAAAAAACATACATCTGCTATTTGTACGTTATCGTCTAAGTTTATCTTCCCCGAATTACCAGCCATTAAGTCTGTGGTTGTACTCTATTACAAAGAAGTAATAAATGCTAGAATGTTACCCGGATGTTGACGAGTATAGTTGGCAATAGTGCCCTCAACAACACCCTGTGGGACGAGTATACTCGTCGCTGGCGGCCAACGTGTTAAATTGATTACCAGGCAATTAATATTCTGTGCAAAAGAATCTAGAAACAGAATAATTTTTCCCATATTATGAAAATATTCAGCCACATTTACACATTTAATTATTTTTTAAATGTTTAAGCCATGAAATACTCACATCTAGGGTTAAAACATAGTCTGGACAACTTCTCCGCCTCTCAACAGTGTAAGCTGGGGTAGCAAATTGTATAACAAATTATTGGTCTGTGATATTTTCAAATACAAGAGAAATAGAATGAAGCAAGAGAAACCTGAAACATCCGGTACTAGTTGAAAGGTGCTGTACATAAACAGACACTGTCAATGAAATATCATGGTTGATTGCACTTGTGTGAAAACAAAACACCAACAGTAACAACTGAGTAATTCAGATTTAGTATGATCTAATGAATTTATTCTTTGGCATTTCTTGCTTATTTACAGGTTGCCATTAGCAACAATGTATCAGGTGATAATGAATCAATTCCTCAATTGAATTCCAGGGAATTGACTGCAGTTGAATCCATTCCAGTAAGTTAAAGTTCACATTTTTTGTCATCAATACAATTTTTCTTTAACTCTCTAAACTATAATTGCCTTGTGTATGTTATCTATCTTGTAAACATTTATTTTCCTAATTCATTTCTCATTTATACTAGAAAACCTGTTCAGTACTAAATGAGGCATTGCTCCTACAGGGCCAAGTTATATTTCTTTAACTCTTTTGAAGTCTTACAAGTGAAGCTGTTTGAAAAAAATATCCTGTTTTTGAACAGGATTTCAACTAAAGATCCTGTTAGGTAGATGGCAAACATCTTAACCACCATGCTACAACTCAACAACTGGGGCCTACTTTCAGGATTTGATAAAATTACCTTCCAATATTCAGTGAATATTCTAGATTACTACCATAATATTGTGGTCATGGTCTACTAAGTCTCAGGGCCAACCAACATATTATTCTTTAACTCTATGTTCAAACATTTATTTAAAATTCTGTGTTAAAATTCTCTATATTTTTTTTAAGCTATGATGATTATTATTGTGTACCTATTTTTCACAATAGTCAAATCCTTTCACATGTGTAAGTATTGTAGGGGTGAGTCCAGATAATCAGGGATGCATCCAGGAGCCAATTTTTGCATCCAGGGGTCACAAGCGCATCCAGGGATCTGCATTATTTTTAAGTCAGGCACAATACGATTTTTCTCTCCAACCCAACAGACCATTTGATCAGACTTTGTCTGATGACTTATAAAAAAAAAATGTCTGTTCCAGTGTATGTCTGTTCCAGTGTATGTCTGTTGGGAGATGGACAATGATTTACTTCAACGAAATCTGACAAAACGTTGAGTACTTGGTCTATCAGACAAAAATCTGAAAATAGTTTATGGCATCCCTGTTGGTTTAAAAAAAAAATGTTTTCATCACTTTATTATTCTCTTGTTTGTCACTTTATAGCATCATCATCCTCTATTCAGCCTTCTCACAAGTGATTTAGATATATCAGATTTCCTTCTTGAGAAATTATCCAAGGAATATGTTGAAGTTGAAACTCAAACTGAAAGTCATTATCTCAATGATGCTGAAAGAGACTCTGAGCAGTTTGATACAATTTCTGAAATAGGCAGTGAGGCAATCAGCCCTCATTTGTCAGTACCGATATCACACAGCCACAATCAACAGACTGCTGTATTGTGGGTAAGAGATGTGCCTGCAACAATCGCTGCTAGTAATAATTTCAGCATGCACAAAGCAATGAATTTGCCAGTGTTGTTTAACTCGTGGTTGCAGATAACAGGACTGTTTCAGCTTAATCGTTGATTAAAGAGAAAAATGTGGAAAGACTGACACTTTCTTAGTGCTATGAAGCATGTATAATATTTGAAGAAAGCCTATTTTATTTCTGGGTTTTGTTTATCTAATACTACTAACTCAATCAATTTAACAAATGGTTTTGCTATGCATTTAAATTTGCATCATTAATATTATATTATAATTAAAGTTGCATTTTTCAGGTATAAATCCTTATTTTTATACAATTAACAGTGCATGTCATACTGCACACTTAGAAAGATAATCTGTCTGTGATAAAATCTGGAAAACTCTCAAACATTGTTCTGAACACCCCACAAAGAAATAGAACTGTTGTCTCAGGCCAACACAAAGATCTTTACTACAAAGATCCTGTTTGATTACCAGCCATTTTAAGGGCCTATGTAATTTGCCTGGAAAATATCAATTTATATTTTCAATTTACAACTAAAACGTATGGAATATACAAAGTAACTAATCACAATATAAAATTTTATTTTATTGCCACAACCTAGACAGTAATATTTTATTGTCTATGTTGTTAATGGACATGAGAATATAAGTTGCACTTAAAATTCTCTGGCATTGTGTTGTCGCCTATGCCTACTAAACATCCCTGCCAAGCAAGTATGACTGCCAAGTATACGCCCGCTATCAAATATTCCTGCCAAGAATATGCCTGCCAAGTATAAGCCTGATATTATTATGCCTGCTAAGTCTCACCCATACTATCAGTTTCTCATGTTTACTGACCAACATTATTATTATTGATGCTAGCCATCGTTAAGAAAGATAAATGACCATCAGAAAGACAGCACGTTTACTGCTGTCACACTAATGATTGTCACCGATCTTAAAAAGCACTGTCCAGACTATCAAATTTTATTTGACAAAAACATGTGACATGCCTAAATATGGTCATGATGACATCACATCATATGACCATATATAGGCACAACATGACTATATACAGGCATACAACAGTTTTTTGTCAAAGAAAATTTGATAGTGTGGAGCTTTAGAAACAAGAGGGAATCATCAAATGTGACTCAAGCTCACAAACGGGCTGTAAACTCGTCCTTAGGCCAAAATGAGATTTTGTTATAATGGTATAGAACATATCATTTACTTTAAAATGACAGTTAAATGAACTCAATCGGGTGTCTGGAAGCAAGGTTATTACCGTTTGAATAATTGTCATCTTATCAACTTTCTTAAATCAAGCTTTGAGAAAAATGCCTTTATTTTCGGAAGGTTTCTATTCACTTTTCATTAGCTCCCATCTGAAAATGGCTAAATTTCACCTCTTACAATTGGAATTTTAAACTCAAACTTCAGGAATAGTAAGATTAATAGTTATACTTTATTTATTACACAAAAACCCAATTCACACAAAATTCCCATTCTACGCCTTATTCTGGGTATTGAGGCTTGTTTCTCTATACAGTGCAGTGCGAGTTTACAGCCTGTTTGTGAGCTTGGGTCACAAATATGTTAGGTATAGGGCTCTACGCAGACAACTCACTGCTAGTACGATGTAGCAATAACTTCTGCCTTCTATTTTGGACACAGATGCAAGCATACAGTATCTTGTTCATGTGTTGTAACATGAATTTGTATACCTCCACGCTGCATCAAGGTTTCAAAATGTTGTGCCATTTTTTAGTCTGTTTCCAGACTGTGATGTTTTATCGACTTTTTGTTTCTTAGACCATTTCCTTTGTTGTAGCCCCTAGAGGGATAAGACCATTTCCTTTGTTTTAGCCCCTAGCTGAACTTTGTCTAATATAATGCCATATGAAATGAAAGTTGCCAAGATCTATATTAGGAATCAATCCCATCACATTAGAAATAATAACATACAGTTCGTATTCTCCTGATAATGATTGAAGCAACTCAAATAAGACTCAAATATAAAAACAACAGTTTTTTTCAGAACTATCTATAAGGAAATCTACAAGCATTTATTATTATGGTTAATTATTAAAACAAAGCAAACTGATTGGCTTATTGTGTTGTATACAAATAAAAAAAATGGACGTAAGGGTATTGTTTGAAGTCTTCTAGTCAGACATAGTATTAGGGGATATAACCTGCTTAAAGGCAATCGGGGCTCACTGTAAATTCTCATTGGAGTAACACTAACTGGCTGTTGGAAGTTGTAACAAAATAACATCCCTCTGCCCTTCATATTTTAATCATGTACTGCTAACTGCATTGCTTTCAGGTGATTATAACATAATTCTGCTATTTTGGGCTGCAACCAAGTAATAAGCTATAAAACACTTTTTGTGAAAGCTATAGCAGCACACATTTTATTATAAGATGATGTATTACAAATAAATATTTGTGTCAGGAGAAATAATAAATACAAATATTGATTTGTATTATTTGTGTCAGGAGAAATAATACAAATCAATATTTGCCCAACCTGATGTGTTATATATATAATAAATTGCCATTGGAATAGCATTGCAGTACCCGCTGCTACTTGGGAATGTGATTCATCACTAGCCACCAAGCGCAAAATTGATTGTCGATTGGTTAAAACACCAGGCTAGTTATCTGGATGTCATGGGTTCGATTCCCACCCGAATCACTTGCAAGATTATATTTCGCAAGTATTTGGGAATGTATGTAATTCAGTACTATAATATGTCAGGTAGGGCAAATATTGATTCGTATAATAAATGTATTATATTGGTTTCATTGACAATAGCACATTTTCGCTATCATATTATATATATATATATATCTTTTGGTTTTGGTTTTTGTCTAGATGCTTGCAGCCACTAATCTCAGAATTCTAATGTGAGAAAGTGTGTTCCGGAAGATACATGGTGTTGGTGTATATGTTTGCTGGGTTGGAATGAGAGTGTGTGCTTGTATGTATATGTGTTCAAGTCCTGTTCAAGACATAATATTTGTACCTTGTACCAACTTAATGTGCTTGAACCAATTTTCTGCATTTATAATTTTGGAAAGACTTAAGTCTACTAAGTATTGAATAAATTATATTAGAGATGAAATCTTTTAATGAAAGTTAAATTCTTGTCCAGGTTTGCTAACTTTGATTATTTCATAAGTGTGTACTAAAAATATGAAAATAAATTGGATATTTAACAATCTGATTATTTCAATTCCAATTTTATATAGGTTTCTAATTTAGCCACGGGCAATGCTTCTGAATTCGGGAGTGAACGTCCATTTTCTGCTGCCAGCCAAAGATCAATGTATGAAAAATACAAATCTGAGATGGAGCAACGTAAAGCAGAGATAGTAGAGCGTAGATCCAAGGCCACTTCCATGCATGGCTCTTTACTAAGTACTAAAAATAGTCGGCCAACAACTTCCACAACGACCCTTAGCAATGCAGGTGTTCCATTCTCAGTTAATGGAGAGGAAGGTTTGTTCTTTGACTTTTATCTTATTTTGACCTTTGTATCCAAATTTGTTCAAGGATCAATATTTTCTGCTTCAAATATTTATAAAGAATGGAAATGTATTTTGGATTTCTACATTTAAATTGCATATGAAACTACGAAAGTAATACAGTAGTGCATCGGGAATGGACGATACCATAGATGAAGCTCACCATGAATGGGCGTGCACTGCAAATTGGCGCATACCACGAATAGTGCATACCAGTAATGGTGCATACCACAAATGGTGAATGAAACTAATTTTGAGAATTATAAATGGTTCACTAGTGCAAATGAAGTATATACCATGACTGGGCAAATAGTCCCATACCACTACTATAGCTCACCATGAATGGTGCATACCATGAGTGATATTTTTAAATTTTATTTCTTTGTCTTTGCTTATTACAAACAATACCTTACCTTCTCTGCATTCACTTGCTCTATAAGGAGTAGATAACGATATGGTAGGAAGAGTTCAAGGTGAAAACCTGGCCCTAGTGCCTCAAGTAAGAGGGACTGCCCCTGCACCAGATGATAAGAGTGGGGTACCCTTACCTTATTTTGGTGACACTACAACTCAGGATGCTGTGAGAACTAAGGTTCTCTTAAGTATGCAGAATGCCTATTCTTTGATGAGTGGTAGGTGATCGCCAACAACTTGACAGCAATAACATTACTAACCGCTTTTGAAGTGAAGTTGTTTTGGCGTTTGACGCTAATCGATTTTGATACAGCTTAAACAGCATGGACAGTTGCAGGTCCTAGATATCTTTCCCAGGGTACATAAACTGAGATGGTTACTTCATTGTCAAACAAAATAGAAAGTCTTTTTTTTTTCAGATTTGGAAGTTACCATCTAATATGTCGTCCAGACCCTCTGGACCAGAAAGGATTTAAGGGGATTCAGCTGAACTGTTTCTCCCCTCTCCTGCCCCTCCAACCAACCCTTAAGTTTTAAAATACCAGTATAAGAAAAAAATGGGACAAGAATGATAATGAAAATGCATTTAAGTTTGAGAGTGCAATGTCCAGCCATCTAGAGGTTATAGACATAAAATCCTCTATTTCAAATTCCTGGATTACTATACCATTAACTACCATTCATCATCTGAGAATCTAGAATTTATTGAAATCAGATGTCTTTAACATAAAGTTTTTGGAAGCATGTAGTGCAGTGTTTGGACAAATGGTCATGGTGTAAAGTGAGACCTACAGTATGCTCATCATATTGCATGTTTCATTTATCATATTTAATTAACATTTGTGCTTCTTCACCGAAGAGTATAAATGGGTACCAGGTAGGAGCTAAATGATTTTGAGTGAAATTATTGCTGAATTGTGCAATACTAGGAATACTCCTTAGGAGATGTTGTTTAAATTGATTTGACAATCAATTTTCCAAATTGATTTCATATATTTCTTTCTTCAACAATAATATTTAAATATGTTATGATCAAAATTTGCATATCGTGATAACCAACCACACTGTCATTTAACAAAATAAAAAGATTGATCAAGGTGTTGTTAGACCTTCAGTTCAACCCACATAATTTTTACAAATTACGAAAAACATTTGAAATATAACCATACTTATAATAAAAAAGAAAATGCTTCTTTCTGCTAAATAATTAGGTAGCCTTGGCTTCAAATATGCTGTGTATTTTCCAACCAAAAATAGCCAGAATAATATACTGTTTATATTAAACATTATATACCTTATACATAGATTCTAGTCATCTGCTTGGTTAAAAAGCGGGTAATAACTTCAGCCATTGTAGGTTTCCCAGGCAAAAATAGGTAGTATCACATATAGTACATGATAGTACTTTTTTGCCCTGTCGCAATGTAATCTCTGGGCCCCACCCCACTTATAACATTGCTGTGTCATTTATGACGTGCACGGATGGTAAAGGGGACAGGACTTCTATGACGCTGAGAGAGATTGTCCCTTTGAAAGTAAGCCAAGGCCTATTTGGTGGGTTCTCTTTTCATTGTTTTTTTAGACCTCGTAGAATCTATGTATGATGTATATAAATCAAATATTGACTGCTTTAGATTCAGGGAATGGTAAAATATATAGTCCCTTGGTGATGTGGAGACCGTAGACTACCTTCCTCGGGGCAGTAGATTTCACCAATCACCTCATCAGCAGTCAATATTTGTATATTATCTATGATGATGACTGTTGCAGTTCTCTTTTATTATTGCTAGTAACTTATAAACAGATTTTATTCCCTTGTAGGTGAATTAACCAAAGTGGACATGGCAACATCTCCTTATGCATTTTCTACCAGTAGTAAACACTCAAAGTAAGCTTTTCTAATCATGATTTTTTTATGAAACAGAAGATGCAAGAATGAGAATGGTGGTCGTTGTGGTGGTGATGGTGATGATGATTATAGTGAATATGATAAAAGTAACATAGAGGTTCCCTACTGAATATACCAGTTTTAGGTTAATGTTTACATAAAGGGCTTAAAGACATTTTCGCTGAACTAAAGTCATTGTTAATGAGGTATATAGTCATAGTATGTTAGGATTATTTCTTAACTGTAATTTTGTTTCTTCAGGTTATCGTCTGCAGCAAAAGAAAATCCTATAATATCTCACTACCTGAAAACCTATGATTTTATCAATGAATTCAAAGAAACCTTGACACAGTTGTTTGCAGACAAAGGTTAGTTTCAATTATATTGTAAGTATATGTACAATATTCAAATTAAAAAATGTATGGTGAGCAAAACGGGACACAACCAATTTATTAGTTTATGCATGGAAGGCAAAATTTCATAATACTTGTGGCATTAATATTGTTGGTTTTTATTTCTATTAATAGAGATTATGTCTGCATCAGAGCAGTTGTCAGATTTAAAAATGATTTCGTTTTCTGAAGAGAAAAGCATTCAGAATCAGATCCAAGAAATGACGTCATACAGTCATCAGTGTAAGTTGACAGTTGATGTTGTGAATTGCAACCTCTATTATTATTTTCTGTTGTTGTTCTGTTGCTCTTTAGGTTGCTTTAAAGCCCCATTCCCGGCAAAATTTCAGTTTTTAAGAAAAATCTAATTTTTGTATTAATTTTGTATAAATATAATACGTAATTGCTAGTTTAACTGAATTTAGACATTCCTAAGAATTAAAAAAATGTAAAATAAGACAAATTTGATTTTTTGTGTTCCACACAAAAAATAAATGCGGATGAATTTTTCATGTTTGATTTTGCGATAGGTCGTGAGAAGAAATATCGTAGGCGCCGAAAACATTAGCCTATATAACGCTGCTAGGCTAGGCCTAGCCTTACCTCGATTTAGGTTCTGTACTCACACATAAAAAGGCCCGACATGATATTTTCCGTTGCTAGTATTGACACTTGTGAAATATAATATTTCATAGGAATTATTTCAAATTTGTTAAAAAACTGATTCTGACTGCGATTTTGACACTTAAACAAACATATCTCAGCCTAGCCGAACGACCGCATTTTGCGAGATGCGAAGTACAAAAACTAATCTCTTTAGAGAGGGCGCACTTTATTAACTGTATAAAGTATACATAAAAGCGAGAGTATTCCAGTGGATGCGATCTACAACCTCTGAATTTGCCTAGTAACGATGAATTCGTTGAGAAAATGGTAATATTTTATGAGAAATAGGCTGTATTTCTCTTCTTTTTTTTTTCTTTTGCGTAAAACTAAAATTAGTGCCAATATTTTTCCATGATTTATAATAATTGGAGTAATGCAAATGCATATTTTCTAAAAAAAGTCAGTTTTTAGTGAAATTTTGCCGGGAATGGGGCTTTAAGCTTGTCACTCACTGCGATGTACGATGGTTGTACGTCCGCAGGCTGACAAATCCAATTCCACTTCCTATGAGCTTTAGACAATATGACACTGTCTGCTGATTGTAGGTGACAGCCTGAATAGATTGTTATTAAAAATGATCTGTTGCGCGCGCGTCATGGCATTGCGTTCTTCATGGAATCATGTCGGCCGATGACCATGGAGTCGCGTTGGCCAATGACTATCGTGCATAGTGAGTGACCGACTTTACTCTGTGTACTGGCAAATCCACCACCAAGGATGGTGCTGCACTTCAGCTTTTGCAGTTTCTTTATCCTCAGTTGGACAGCACATTGTTATAACTAAAATTAATTATTTTATTTTTAGTTTACTTTAAAAGCATAATTTTAGTTTTTCTTAGTGTCTGTTGATTGCTTTTCCATTTTCTGAGCCTAACATTCTTGCATATGCGCAGGGATAAACACTTTCTAGGCCATGTTTCTGCAGCACTTTTTACCCGATAAATTATTGGAAAGCAGCCATTTTGTTATTTTTTGCTTCCGAAACAGGGCCCAAATTTTCCGAAAAATTTTGGATGAGAATCAGATAATTTATTGGAAAAAGCTCTGAATGCAAAAATAAATAACCTTTGACCGATGTCAAATCACAGTAATGCAAAGAATTCTTTTGGGTAGTTAGTTTGTAAGGCAGCTAGTAGTGCCTAAGGGCTTAGGTCTAATTTCAAACACTTCATAAAAAGTGAGTAAACTGCTCGTGCCTGTTAAATATATTTAAAAAGCTGGAAACTGCTGCACTCTTCCTCGAAGGTGCCTGGCTGGACCTAGGTCTATCCCTACCTTTTCGTTTATTGCACTGCAAAGCACACCAAACAAAGCTAGCATTCTTTTTCGTCTTCTCAATCCCTATACTGTATAGGTTTTATACACCTATATAATAGGTCTATAATAGACCATATAAGGCTTGCCATTCCAAAAACCAACATTAGTGACCAAAAAACGAAAATTGACATTAACATATTCTTATTCTCCACAATATAATCTTTAAAATGATGGGTCGTTTACTAGAATCAAATTAGTGTTGCCAAAGTTATGAGTAAAAGTATTACAGCTTCGCTGTACTAAAGTATACAATACTGTCACATTCTTATGTTAATTACTCAGTTTAACAATTAGTGAGAGAGCGCTGGTTTTTGGAATGGCGAGCATTGTATGTTTCCAAACAAATGCATCAATCGCTTTGTCAAAGTATAGCAAGCAAACTTATGTATGTTGTTGCTACAAAATCCCACCAATGACAGTTATCACCTAAAACATTACATTAATAATTAAGGTACACCACATACATACTATCAATATTTAAAATTCTGTTGTGATTATAAATATTTAAACATGGGTTTGGAAAAAATTGGGTAACTACAGAACAAATACCTATTTAATAAGGGAGCACATGCAGAAGGGTTAAAATAGACAAGAAATGTACAAGATTTAGTAAATATTGAGGGATATTGCTTGTTAAATATGTTAAATGTATTACAAATTTTTTTTCTTCAGTTTTGAAAGAAGCAGCTTACATCATTAACACTGTATTCCACTCAGGCTATGTAAGTAATCATTTCAGCTTACGATAAAGAATATTATCTTAGTCTATGCCAGTATCCTTTATGGAACTTTCCTCAAAAATAATGCATGCATGCGACCCAGATGCATGTAATGAATTTACATTATGCAATTATCCTGTTTAAAAAAAAGCATTTAAACATAAAATTTTGAACATTAAAATTTTAAACTTTTTTATTCTTTTTTGACTCTGGTTTTATCACAGGAGCCTGCTGTATCTTCTCTTTTGTCAAGAGGTGACACTCGTAAGTCAATTTTACTAAAGTCAAAATCGGCTAGCATGGATACTGAAAAAAGTTCAATAAACATGGAGAGAGAACCCAGCATGGTAACCACCGGAGGCGACGACCAATTCCAGCAGTTATTGCTTATGAATGAACAATTGTAAGTTTTAAAATAAACTCCCATCAATTGCTTCCATCTAATCGCTTCTCAAACATCTATTGTTTTTTCTTGTGTTACTGTTGATATATATTGTTTGTTTTTTTCTTTATATGTCTCTTGCATCTCTACTCTATTATGCACTTGTCTACAATCATCTTTACCATTTCATTAATAAAACATTGAAGATGTGCAACTGCTAGCAGAACTTTTACTTATTTTCTTGTAGGAAGAAAGATAATCAACAACAGAAAGAAGAGTATGAAGAGAAACTTAAGTGAGTATTGATACTCTTGGATATTTGTAGTAGGGATGTAGCTTGGTGGTTTAGATGCTTACCTTCCACTCCCAGAGTTCTGGGTTCAAATTCTGTGATATCACATGATTTTTTTCTCGCATGTAAATAACATCTTCACTACCTAAGTCTCAAAATGAAACTTGGTTTATAAAGCATCTTATTATTTCGATTATTTCAATTTTGTTTAAGAGGGCCCTGAATATCGGCTAATCTATAATATGATTTTAGTGACAGAATAATCAATATCTGTAAAGATATTTGGATATTTGAAATGGGCTGTTGTATGACACAGACATACATACTTGTCTCACAATTAATATAAACAATTTTTGTAATATTCCTTTTATGCTATGTTAATTAACTGTCCTAACACACCAGCCTGTGCTGGTGAGTCATCAGTAATGGGAGTCCTTTTGAAACAAAAAGTTCACATTATATTTTCTTACAGTCAATAACAATTATACATCTTAAGCATAAACTTACTATGATGATTCCAAAGTATTAGCTGATGAACCCCATAATGTCCCAAGCAATGAAAACAATTAATAATACAGAATATATGTAATTAATTTTTTTCTTTTGTGCAAAATAATTTTCAGTCATAATACCGTTGTGATGATGGAAATGCAAGACATGATTCAGGACTTGCAACGTGAACTTGCTGCCTTGAATGCCTCGTCAAAAGCAATGTCCTCAAGAGCATCCATGTACGAGGTTGATCAAACTATCATTTTCTCACGACTCGACTTTGAAAGGAATCAGAAGTCTCTCAAAAGGGCCGTTAAGAGTGACAGGGTGAGTTGCCTTTGTTAAGTAATAGTCTGTTCAAATTATCAAATTTTCTTTGACACAGAACTGATGTATACCCATATATAGTCATGATGTGCCTATATATGGTCCTAAATGTGATGTCCTTATGACCATATTTAGGCATGTCACATGCCAAATAAAATTTTGGGCAGGGCTTTAAACAGTCGGATGTAGGCTATACTATTGGATGTCTGTCAGTCCACAGATGATATTTGATCAGACAAACAATGTTTGATCAGATTTTGTATGCTAAAATTGAGCATTTTCTGAATTCCAAAGACATGAAGAGCCTTATAATTTGTTTCTTTCAGATTTTTTCGAGCACACAATATTTAGCTGTTGTTGTACTTGTAGTTATTGTTATTACATAACAAATGTAAATGTTATCAGATGCTTTAGCTATTTTTGTATTTATTTTTTACAGATAACACCTGAAAAATACAATGAAGTAGTGCATACAATGGATGAATATGTCAAGATCCCAAAACAGAGATTGGCTCATCTGGTCAAGAAGTACACCCACCATACCAACATGAAAGCTATTGAAGGTGATTGCATCTTGGTGGGAGTCACTATGGGGGTACTAAACTATGAAGATTCCAGGGTCTCTAGTTTATTTCCATCTTTACTTTTCTTATGTTTACCTATAATGCAAATTAATTTTGTGCACTGACTTTTGGAAGAGGCGTTTAATTGTAGGCCCTATAAGTTTTGCATGTGCATAATGTAAAACTCTATTCTTAGGCACACACTAGTATTACTGCCGACGGTTGTTGCCACAATATCATTGAGAAAACAACACAATGAAGCTCATTTTCTAATGACCACCCACTTAAATATCGACCATCAATAAACACATAGCTCACACAGAGCAAGGGTGATATGTATAACCATCTTTAAGCCCTGTCTGGCCTATCAAATTTGACAAAAATTGTGAAATGACTAAATATGGTCATGATAACATCACATCATGACCATATATAGGCACAGTTTTTTGTCAAAGAAAATTTGATAGTGTGGTCATAGCTTAAGAAAAAAGGTGTGGGTAGTTTCTGGTGTACGTGCTTTAGTATGTTGAACGTGGCAGTATATTAAAGAAAAAACAAAAATGCATATCTTTTGTTCTTGTGTTGGCAATTGTATAATTGCTTATTTGATATTATTGTTTTTATCAATCATTTATGATTATTCCTAATCATTTGTATTTATTATTCTCTGCAGAAAATGTTCGCAAGAGTGGACAGCTTGATGATGAGGTGTTCCGTCTCTTAGAGAGAATGGAAGCTCTGCAAAGCAAAGTAAGGTTCACTTAAGATATGTAGTGTTGTCATTGAATGGTCTCTTAGTCTGCCCAATTTTCTAAGTTGAAAGCACACTCCATTCATTCCACCAGCCATTTAATCATGCCAAAGTTAGGACGCAAGCTAGTTGTCTATGATTCTTTGTGTTGTCTGTTAACTAGAAACATTGGTTTATAAATACCAGACAGAAAAATGTCTGTATTTCAGACTTGCTTATCATCATTTATTCTTCTATAATAGATTGATAAATATATAAATGGTTTTAATAATCAATTGCTATGCTTATTACTCAATGTTTGTGCAATATTCCAAAAGAACGAATATCTTAATGTGCACATCATGGATATTTTTGTGTTGGCAGAGAGCTCAGCGTTGGGGTGAAGACATGGATAAGATGGCAGAACAAAGGCTTATGCTTGCCAACCTGCTAATGGAAACATTGAGTTTGATAGAAGAAGAATCTGGAATATTTATGATCAAACCTATACTCTCTTGGAAAGGAAGGTATGCAGATTCTGTTATTTCATATAAAGAAAAAAAAATATATCATCTATTATCATCACCATGACCTTATAATATGTATCACATCTATTTTTTGTAACTAAGATAATGGCTTTCCAATCCTAGTGTCTTGGGTTCAAATCTTGTGAAACACCAGAACTTATTTTCTCAACACAATGTGTTTCCAAGGCCTCTTAATACAATTTTGACTATAGACATTACATAGGTTTATCCACTAATTGGCGAGTATGCTTGCTGTTGGATGTGAAAAAAGAAACAAAATAAATCACTTCCAATCACTCTTTCTTTTCTTAACAGATATTTTGCCAGCCAAACTAAATTGAGAAAATATCCCCAAAAAATAAAATTGCTCTTTCAGTTATTTAATTGGCTCATTGTGACAGCGACGTTACTTTGACATCAGTGGGTGAGACCACTTGAATGTCACCATCTCTTACATAGATTCTGATTTTATTTTATTTTTATTTTTATTATTATGTTGTTGTGTGCCTTGGTTGTTAACATTAGGTGCTATATACTGTAAATGTTTATTATTATTATTATTAATTAGACACATAAAAATTATCAGTTTACTACAATGGTTTTACTATAAAAAATAAATTTACAGTATATAATATGTCATTTTAAGAACATGTTTGAAGATGTTAAAAGATTATTATCATGAGTAAAATACGATTTACTTTTTCATGGCATTATTTATATCAATATATCAGATTACAGAATGTTAAAGTAATTTCTGGCTGGAAAAGCGAACAAAATTATTTATGGCATTTTGCAGATAGTAAATTTATTGAACTCATTTTGCTCAACTTTAACATCATTCATAATACAGAGGCTGGGTTCCATCATATCCACGAAGGCCAACCAGTAGGAGCAATCAAGAAAGGTCGTCTGTAAACAGGACTATCACCCCTGCAAGGAACAGCACTCCGTTTAATGTTGCCCCCGCGCCAACACCAGCATCCTTCCACACTCTCATGAAGTCAGCCCGACCGCATTCACAGGTAAGACCAAACCCCAGTTTTTAGTACAAATGAGCTATTCAGCCATTAGATCAGGGGTTCTCAACTGGTGGCCCCGGGCCATCTCCGGCCAGCGGGTGCACGTTTTGTGGCCCACTGGCAAGAACAAGTTGAAAATAATATTTTCTGTTAAGCTTGGGCCTAAATATCTATCACAAAAACAAGCGATTTAATCAAATTGGAAGAAAGAAAAGCAAACAGCAAAGAAAAGAAATAATAACACACCAACTTTCAGCCTCTTGCACAGTCGCTTGCTTGATGTTTCAGGACTAGCTGGTCTAGTGCGATAGCATGGCAGCGCTCTGCTGCCGGTAGTGCGTAGTTCTATATATACTACAAAGGTAACTTTCTTAGGTCAAAATGCCCTGTATGAGCTTATATTTTCAAAAAATTCCTAATTTTGGAAAGGGGGACTTCCCCTCCCAAACCCTCCCCAAACCTCACAAATTCACTATCCTGGTGCTAAAAGTTTACTCTCTGAGTTACTTCAATATACTACAATGTTACCATAAGAAATGATGCTACAATTTAGTTGGCAGACTAACCTTGGTTACACAATCTAGACCCACATTGATAGTTGACTGCAGACCTAGAGCATAGGTGGACAAAACGAAGCCCAATGGCAAATTTGTTGCAGGCCTGTGTGTGGCCTGCCTATCTTTGGCTGAAAGAATCCCTAGTTTTTTTTGTTTTTTTTCGGATCAGTGCCGATCATCAATAGAAAGTAATATTAAAACTGGGCATAAAGATGTATGAAGATTTTTGCAAGCACACTGGAAACAATATGGTATATGTGTGGCCCTAGGTGTTACATCAAAAATTCATTTTGGCCGTCTGACCCAAATTTATACCTACACCTGGCCTAGAGCCAGACAAAATCTATAAATATTTTCTCAACTAAAAAAATATTTCTTAAATCTCATGTTACGTGTGTACAGTACCTACAATATTTCTCAAATTAAAGAATAAATTTTAACATATTGGTGTTTCTGGTTACAGGCAAGTGAAATGGACAACAGATTGCAAGGTGATTTTGGTGTACCTGAAAGCAACAAAAATGTATCAGTGAAGGGTGAAACAGTTTCGCTGGTGGGCGACAGCGTTCAACCAATGTGGGCCATGTCATCATCTGTACCAAGGCCAGTTGGAGATTCAAGTAGCAACTTGTCTTTAATACACACGCCAAAGATACTGGAACTTGACGTCAATAGATTGTTGATTGGTCAAAACAC